CTAGGGCCAACGGAGCAACGGAAAGGCAGCTGCTCACCTGGTATTTGTTAATATTTGCTCTGAATTGCTGATTTGTGTGCAGGTTGATCTACTTTTAATATTCAATATTAGCTCACTTAAAAATGACTTAAAAGTAGAGATGCGTAACAAAGACAAATAGCAGTGGCACTGGGGATCTTTCAGCCTGCTCTCAGCACTCCCTGCCTTTTCCTTCCTCTGAGTGTTCAGGACCACAGAATATGTTTTTTTCAGGAAGTGAATACCTGATTTTGTCTGTAACTTTTGGTATCCAACTTTTCTGGAGGAAAAAAAGCTGAGATTTGAAGAAGGTAGTTGCAATGGGTTTTACTGATGAGAGTGATGTGGTACTTCTAAGGAGTACTTTAACTTTCCTTTTCTATGCAGGGTAGAGGTTCTCAAGATCAAATTGTGTCTTTAATTAAAATTTATTAATTCCTGAGGGACAGGACTGTGCAATTGCTTTCAAGATCTTGTAAGACCTTGTAGTAACTGAAAGATCTATTTAATCTGACTTTGCCTTATGTGTTTTACAAATGTAAGCTCTTCAAGGGTTCAGAATCATTAGCTGAGCCTTGTTAATTTGTTTCTTAGAGGGAATGTTTGAGACGGTGCTCTCCTGTTTCTGGAGTCACATTCACTCATGCAATCCCTATGAGATTGGGGCTCCTTGGCTATTTAATGAGTATCTATTCTTGGAATTTTTGTTGCCATTCCAAAGCTGTCCAGCCAGGCTGCCTCTTCCTCTTGCAGTCCTGTTTGTAGATTTGTGCCTGAAGGTGATTTCCAGGGAGAATGGAGCACGAGGGAACTTTCCGCTCTCCTGTGGTGCAGCTCCTCTGCCAGGGCTGGGGACAAGCCCAGGGTAGAGGACAATGGCACCCAGCGCCATTTTGTACATAAATGTCAGCATTAGTCCAAGGAAAACTGTCTGGGTGTTGTTGAATTTAGTCCTGAAACTTTATTTTGGGATAAAATCTGTCTAAGCTTTGCATGTACCAAAGAAAGAAACTGAATGGGCCAGCCCAGCGATGTAATGAAACTCAGGCAGTTTGGAGGTGCAGAAAAGCAAGGCAGAAATGCTGTGGAGCAAATTTCCAGATAATTTTGGCATATTCAAGCCTACTTCTTCTTGAGATTTACATAAAAATAAATCTGCAGCATCCTTTTAAGGACACAAGTCAGGATGTTGGCGAGTTTGGTAAGCAGTCTTAATGAAAATTTACTGAAGCTGTAAATATACATGTGCCAACAGATTGGCACCTTATCCCTTTGCTCCTTCTTGCAACTCAAAAAGTTCTTTAATTACCATTACTTTTATTTTTTAATCAACATAGCTGAGAGGCAGAGAGGCTGGAAGTATCAAGACATTTAGAAAAAGGCAACAGTGTATAGCATGAATGCCTGCCTATTTTTTTTTTTTTTTTTTTTTTTTGGTAGGCAGAAAAGTATTCTAGCCAAGAATAATAATTTAAATATTTTATTATTTTTGGTTTTAGGACTCAGAATATTTTTTCATTAGTATTTTACTCCATTCTTGAAGAATATAAAACAAAAAATGCCTTCCTGGCTTCTAAACCCTTGGTTGGCCAAGGTTACCCTCCTGGTGAGCCCTTTCTGTAGTTAATTACTGAGTGCAAGTATCTCATACCTATTAAATGCCCCTTGTGTTTTCCATCCCTCAGTCAGTTACTTCTTTCCCACAACCCCTCTGAGATGGCTTTGATTTTTTTCCTTGCCAATTTTCCCGTTTCCCTGGGATGCTCTATAACAACCAGACTTTTCCTTGCAGGTCCAGGTTTAAATTCTGCTTTCCATTACAGTTTAAGGCTGTAAATAAAGCCCAGGGTGCAGCCTGAGGTGTGAGCAGCCCTGTGCTGCAGAAATGCCAACGTCATCAAAGCTGCCTCTCTGCAAAGAATTTTTGCTCTGTATTTTATTTTCATTTCTGCTTTCAGTGAATATTTAGTGATCTCTGATTGCATAATTGAATTTGATAAACTTACAGTATATGATTGATGAGAAAGTCAGGAATAAAGGATTAGAAGATAAAATTACTTCAAGGGTTTAAGTAAATCTTCCAGAGAGCCAGGGTAATTTATAAAGCATGCTATACTCTTTATAAAAATATTCCCGTAGGTCTATTAAATTTTAGCTTCTAACAGAACTGGATTGAGTTTTGAGAATCATTTTCATGTAATAACAGCTTGATTGTGATGCTTTAAATGGGAGATAGCTCTGAGTGGGCTGCAGCACCACTGGGTTTGGAATATTTGAGTAGGAAATATAGGGCTGAATGAAGACTTGTGGGCAGCACTTTGTCTTCCAAATGCATCATTTTTTTTCTTGGAAAGACATAAGTTAGGAGTAAGTGGATAATTCAGAGTAAGTAATGAAGGAGGTTGTGCTGCTGAGTCTGTAAATCACTGAAAACAAGGATCAACAAATGACTCTGGTGAAGACATCACTTCCACTGAGCTCTCCCTCAGTGACTGAACTTTCTTTGGGGAGGAACAGTTTAGGGAACTCATTCCAGGAGCCTCTGTACATGAGCAGGTAAGTGTTGTTTTCAGGAGACTCAGCACGAATCATTTCACTTTACCAGCTGGGCTCTGTTATCTTCCCCTGAACACAAGCACTGCTCCCAGCTGCCGCTTTTCCATCTCCAGAGGAAGCCTGACACCTTTAATCTTACCAGGGTAGAATGTCTGAAACTCCCTGGGGAGACTCCCCAAAATGCCTTTGACAGGATTTAACATTTTCTCTCTTGTTTAGAAATACCTTTGTAAAAATTTGCTTTTCTCCCTGGGTAAAATAACTGTATTTCACAGGAACATCCTCTAACTCCAACTTTAATTTTTCTTTATAGCATTTAAAATATTGGTCTGTTTTACTAGTTAGGAGACAATGAGAATTGGGATAAGATGATTTCACAATAATTGCAGTCATTAAAACAACAACTAAAGAGAAGCTTTGCAGAATATATTTTCAGTCATGTAATAGTGTGGAGAAGTGTAAAAACTTTCTTTGGCTTGTCTGGGAATATCTGCTAGTTTGGAACTGTTCCAATTTTCTCATATGTTGAATTGTTGTAGCTTCCTATATAGCCAATTTAGAGAAGATACTGCTGATCTGCACTTGTCATGAATCAGATTCTTTGAAAGACAGGTTATTTAAAATGCTACAAATCAGAAAAGGACCCTACCCAAAATCCAGTTTTAAATTCAGTTTGTTAGATTGGATTTTGTGTGATAGTTTATAAGCGTTGCTTTAAGATTACATGTTTTTTCTTTCTGCATAAATGACTGTGTTCCTGAAGTTAAATCCTAAATATTCAGGAGACAATTTGTCGATCCAAATCATCAGATGAGTAGGGAGCTGTGGCTGATTTATGGCCCATTGCAGGAGATATTTAGCACCAGTGGGCCTGGGGCTCCCTGGCCACACTCAGCTCTGCCCTGGGACCCTTCAGTGATAATAAGTCTGTGCTGCCACGTGCTGTGCAGTCAGAAACATCCCCTGAGCAGAGGCAAAGTGAAAGAGAAAGGCTTGGAGACTTGGACATGCCCAGGCTGGGCTGTGAGCCCCAGTGGAACACCAGAGTCACTGGGAAACCACCACCAGCACCCTTGGGCCAAGCTCCTGGGGCTGTCCTCTCAGTGATTCTGGGACCTGTGGACTCAAAAATTCCAGCCAGCCTTGAACAGCACATGAGGGCACTCCAAACTGTAAAAAATATTTTAAACTCTTTAAATATAAAAAGCCTGAGTATATATAAAATTCCAAGTATAAAAATGCCGGTGATTTTTGTGTAAAATAAATGTTTAAAAGAAGGTTTGCAGTTTAACTGAACCATTACTTGCACTGGGACAACGTTTGTATATCTTGGGTTTTTTTCTGTATTTTATATATAAAGTACATACACGCACCCTGCACACTTTAAAGAAGAGCTCAGTATTGTCTACATGTTCAGTATTATTAATATTTTATATTAAATTTCTGACTTTGAATATAACTCCTGTTTTTTATGTGTAATCATAAAATCCTGAAAGTGTTCCAGGCCAGGTTGGATGGAGAAACCTGGTCTAGTGGAAGGTTTCTGTGCCCATGGGAGGGGTTGGAACTGGATGAGTTGTAATCTCCCTTCCAACCCAGGCCATTCTGGTTTAAATTCTGTTATAGAAGGTATTTGTATGCTTTTAAAATTACAAGCAGGAATTCAACACGTAAAGTGTGAAAAGCATTCATCTTCCAGATGTGACTGGGTACATCTCTAGCAGGTGTGGACTCAGAGCTTTGGCAGTTTACCCATCAAAAATTTTGCTACTTGGAGTGTTTTATTTGCGATACACAAGAGTCTGAGATTACATATGACCCTTGCATACTACTGAGGTACCCTAATTCTAAAATCTGTTAGTGGCTTCAGGTAATATAATTTAACATATTTGGTTTGTAAGAACATTGAAAAATGCATTAAACTTGTGAGGTGTTTTTTCTAAATTCTTTTTCTTATCAAGAATCTTCATTTACTCTGAGACTTTTCCTGCTGTGATAATCATTTCTATCCAAGATTACACTTCTGGTTTCTATTAAAGAAATTAAAAAAAAAAAAAGTAAAAAAAAAAAAAAAAAGCTTTGAGTGGATTTAATCCTCAGAAAGGAGAAGAGGAAAAAAAAAACCAAAAACTAGTAGGGTTGTTCACTGCCTGCCACAGCAGGCAACATTGGAATTTTCTTCTGGAGAAAGAGTAAACATGGACAAAAGCTTGTCTTAGTGGGCAAGGACAAAGTTTATCAAGATCTTGGTAATTCTGCCCCTAAAGATAAAGCTTAGCTATGAATGCACCAGTGCAAGCTTTGACTGAATCATGTTGTTTCTTGTTCTACCATGACCATGTTGAGGAGAAATTAGCTAAATATCAGTTGTTTCTCCTATAGTTTCCTAAATAGCCTCCAAACACATTTTTTCCTTTGTATTTCAGGGGATGTTGCACCATTCTTCAAGACAGAACCAGGCTTGCCCCAGATCCACCTGGAAGGAAACAGACTGGTCCTTACGTGCCTTGCTGAAGGCAGCTGGCCCTTGGAATTCAAGTGGTTGCACAACGACAGTGAAATAACCTCCTACTCCAGTGAATACAAGTAAGTAACAGCCATATAATCACCCCTGCAAGTGGAATTGCAAAAAACAACCCCAAACCAAACCCCACCCCCTCCATTTCCCAGTGCCTCAAAGAGCTTTGTAGATACAGACACAGGGACGTGGGGGTTCATCATGAAAGAAGAGTAGGTTTTGTAAACAGATGAGATGAGATTCCTTTGCTAAAAATGAGACTTGACACTTCAAAATGTGGGTCTTAACATGGAATTTTTAAGTACCAGAAGTGGCTTTTGCTGGAGATGTAACTTTTACCTGTGTTTGTGATAAATAGGAGACACATTCCTTAGCCAAATGTTACATATGATGTGTGAACTCATCCTCGAACAGAGCCAAGCTCGCTGGGACTCTCCGTCTCCATCAGATCTAGAGGAATGTGGTCTGTCTTAAATCCCACACAAAACTTTCTGTTTCAATTCTAGCAATTCCAAAAGGGAGCTGACAGTTTAACAAACTGCCCTTTAATGATTGTGCAGTTTGCCCCCAGGACCTTCTTCCTGCCTCCCTCCCCATCCCACAGACATTCCATCAAACAGGAGCTGAACCACAGTGTGGCTTATCAGAGCTCATTCCTGCTGATAGGCAGCACATGGCTGGCCAAGTACCAACGTGCCAGACTGCCAAGTTTTGTCTGCTTTTCTCTAATGTGGGAGGAATGACTGGGTTTTCTCCATGCAAACAGAAATTTCTGTACTTTTACGGAAATTTAATTTTTATGCAACTTACTTGGTGCTTTCAAATTTTGTAGAATTTGCCAGGTGAGTTCAGACATTATGAGGGTGGGTATGTGACAGAGAGAGCCCAGGTACAACACCTGTACCTTTTGCAAACCAAGCTAAATACTGCATTTTTGGGACACAAGGCTTAAGGTAGGGAAAAGTTATGCTCCTTCACTATAGATAGAAATTACAGTATAAGTTGGTATGCAGATAATACAGATACTTATATAAAATTCTACATTGTTACACATGGTAACACATAATTACTTTTCTCAAAGATTTTCAAAATTGTAACCTATCACTCTGTTTTTGATATTATTTATATTTACAGTGCAGTAAGGGAAAAAATTCCCTTAAATAACTTTTTTAAACTTGTGGGGGTTATTTAGCATTTCAAGTATTTAGCAACTGTTTGAACCCAAGCATTGAGTTCTATATGAAGTTACCTAGAAATACAAGACTTGATTTGGATGAGCCCTCTTATTTCTGAGCCCCTGCATCTGTTCATGATTGGTGCTTCCATCCTTTGGGATGTGGATTACGAGCCACACACACGTAAAGAGGAGATTTGTGAATGCTTTCTAGAAAATGAAAAGATCTCTAATAGCACAACAAATCACAGAATGTTTGAGCATGACTTTGTGCAAATGCCACTTGTTTTGATCAAGAGCAGCAGAGTCAGCTGTAGTGGCTGGGTAGAAGGAGCTGGGAGCAGCCTTGACCGTGTGAGATGCTGAGAGAGTGGGAGGAAAAATGGGGTGGGGGGAAAAACACATGAACATGGAATGAACAGTGGGCAGGGGTTAGAACTCCAGCCCTGGAGGTGTGCTACGCACTGGGAGATGACATTTCATGGTATTAGGAGAAACCTGAGTAAGAATGGGTGACATTTTGAAGTAAGACCCGAGTGCCGTGGTATTTCTTAAACAAGTGGACACCCCAATACAAAATCAGAATTTTACTGTGTATGGCAGTGTGAGTCGGTTATTGGAACACCTTTCCCAAGCTGTGTGTGACACACCTGCAGTCAGTCCCTTGTTTCTTATATTGCATTTAATTTATTCTTGTGAATGTCAGGTCATGATCCAAACCATATTTATTAATTCTGCATTTTTTTTACATTCTTATTTCTATCTCTTATTAAAATATCTGACGCAGAGGAAGCTGCTGGTTTATGATCATAATATTGATACAAAATATTAATTTAGAAATTGCATCCCTATTGCTACACCACAGCCAGAGATCAGCTAAACAGGATTTTGATTCTGTAGAAATGCAAAGCTTTAAGCTTCCAAAAAAATGGCATAGGTGCATTAGAATGAATGAAAGCAAGGAAAAGATATGCTCAGACATAAAAATTGCAGTTGCAAAATTTAACCTTTGACCCCATAACAGTTTGCTGTGCAGTTCTCTTGGGTAAATAGCCTGTTTAAATGCACGAATCTTCCTGAGTAAGTGACTTCTGCTGCAATTTGAATCATCAATCAAAGAGTTTTTGGTAATTGATATTACTTAGTGTGTCTCAGTTAAAGTAATGTCTTTATTGTAACAGGCTGAAAATATATTATTATAACAGCCCAAGTGAGTAAAGACCTAACTGGAGCCTTTGCATTGTGACATTGGTGACCCTGAGTGAGCAGCTCCTCTTTGTCTAACGAGGCTGGTTGTGTGCACAGCCTGCCTTTCACAGTGACTGTGCATACACCACTTTGTGTTAAGTATTTATAAAACAACCTTATCAATTCTTTGTGATCTGAGATCCACCTTATGAAAACAAATCGATGCTGCTGACTGAAGGAGCAATTTTGGTCATATCTATAAATTAAGAGACTTTAATGTTCAGGCAGTGTAGTTTTTCTGTTTTCTTCCCCCTTCCCTCCCCCCCCCCCCCCCCCCCCCCCTTTGTTTTCTTTTGAATTAAGTTCTGGAGAAGGTGTGTTTGTCATATTTGCTTTTGTGGCCTGAAGATATTGATTTTTTGGAATTTAAGAAACTAAGGTCATGTCTAAGCAGCCATACACTTTCAACCAAATTACTTAAAAGTATTGGATTATTACATTTTTAACAATGGACACATTTCAGTTTTGCTTCTGTATTCTAAAAGTTAGATCAGTTGATCCATATGTCTTTTGTTAAAAAGCTTCAGTAGATAGAAAGTAACATGAATATCTAATAAAATACACTTAGCTTTAATTCTGTATCCATAATTATGACTATTAAATCCCATAGCCTATAGCTTCACTTTCAACTCTAACGGCATTTAAAATTAAAATGAGGGTTTAAATTTTAGATTAGGAGTGAACTGTAAGTGTTGGCCAGGATTTCTCCTTAGGTGGCCGATGCCACTCCCTCCTGGAGCTCTTTGTAGAAGGGTGATGGAGCACATCAGGCTCGGGGAGACTCCCCTTGAAGCTTCTCTTTTCTGCTTGTCACTTCCCATCTCTCTGCAGAACCTTCCCAAACTCCAGGTTCTGCTTGGCTGTGCCTTTCAAACTGAGAGAAAAGTCAGGGTTGACTTTCCAAAGTCCTTGCAGACAGCCCCAGGTACCTCAAGGAGCCTCCTGGCATCTCTACAATGGGAAGATCTGTCTTCAAAGTTTGAGCATGGAGAAAAAGAAAGCAAAATTCTGTCTTGTCACTGTAAGGAATTGTGTTAACCTTTGATTTCAGTTCATTCTGGGGAAGAAAGTCTTATTTAGAACTCAGAAAGCCTATTTATATCCCTTCCTGCCTGTCAGAAAACAAGTGGAATGGGAAAAGCATAGCACAAAAAGCAGTATCAAGGCTGTTAGGTCAATAAAAAAGTAGGTTTTAAAACAATAATAAGACATATGAGGTGCATAAAGACTGTTTAAAATTGTAAACATAGAATCAGAAATTCCATTAATATTTTTCTCTTGCCCAGGTTTGCAATTTTCAAGATAGTCTCAAACAGTATTAACACGTCCTATCTCTTTTTTCCACATTTGTTATTTAATTCTTCTAATTTTGCTTGCCGTACCTGAACATTATACCCAGTAGGTCCACTGAGAATCCAGCTGCTCTAGGTTTTGGCTGCCTTGGAATTTCTAAAGTAGATGGGATTTCCACTGTAAATTTTTAAAAGATTTTTATTTCTTCAGGCAACATGTTAAGAATGTTTCCTGATGAAACTTTAATAAGTCAGAAAAGAAAACCAAAGTAGGACACTTCTGATCTAATTGATTTGTTTTGTCCTGGTGGCAGCAAAACTAACTCTGCATTACTGTCCTAGTACAGATGATAATTCTCAGGAAAGAGGCCTTTAATTTTGGCTTTATTTAATAGACAAGGTATTATCCAAGTAGGACACTAAATCTTTATGGGAGAAAGAAAGATTGTTGATGTATAATTGTTGGGTAAAAAAAACTGTAAAAATTAATTTCAGTATTTGTCAAAATCTTCAGTTCTTTTATTTTTTTCTTTATAATGATGTTTCACAACAATCTTCTTCCTGGCAGAGAAGGAAATGATTTTGTAAGGAACTAGAGAATCCTTCTGTCCTATTGATTTCTCTCCTCTGCATTGTATTTTCACCTGCTCTCTCACTCCATTCCCCATGGTGAGGCTTGTCAGGCAAGAAGAAACAACATTCCTGCTTCAGAGTCATTATTTGTGTCCTGGGATTGCTGTGACTCCCATAAAGAGCCCAGGTTGGAATCTCCCTTTTCTTCCTGGTGCCAGCTGCCACAGCCAGGGCAGGGAATGTGCTGGTGGCTGCTGGGGAGGTCCCAGCAGAGACCTGAGGAGGTATCCATGGGCATCCTGGAAACCCCAGGGATGTCTGAAGCTTGCTCACAGTGTTGGGCTCTGGTTTAGTCCCTGTGTTTGGTGGTGTAACCCAATTTTGTGATGACACCAGAATCTTCTGCCTCCTTTGTTTTATGCTCCCTGATCCTGTTCAGGCATTAAGCTCTGCACGTGGGTGTGTACAGTATATTTGAGTCTAAGAAGAAATGTTTTCTTTTAGTGGAATTAAATTTTGGAGATAAAAATTCAGCAGTTTTCCTTTTCCTTATCTTCCATAAAGACTTTCATTAATCCTGCCATAATATCTCCTGAAGGTGACTGGGGGAATATGCACTTGTGATTAATGTTTGTTTAATGCAGGATTATCTCTATTATTCATGTGTTTTATTCCCATTAAAACTGTGCCTATCAGCTCATTTTCATGTTGAGCAATCAGATGTAGCTGAATGAGAAAGTGAGATTAGTGGACTGAGTGTCTGTTTGAAGGGCAGAGCAAACACAGGGTACAGCACAAGGTGGCACTTCCAGGATTCCTCTGAATTTCAGTGGTCACACAGTGGAGCTTTCATTGAAAAGCTTTGATACTTCTTGCAAGTCTTCCTAATACCTACACTTCAGCTTCTTGTGGCTTCTCTGAACTAATTACCTGCTTTGCCTTTTGAATGAAGGTAGAGAAAACTAGGGGAAGAAAATTAACTCCATCTTTCATGTGACTTTTTGATATACTTGGCATTTATCATTTGCAGAACTGAAGACTGAAAGGTATTTTCATGCATTTCGTGTCAGCTGTTTTTTAAAAATCTGTATATAACAGACAATACTATAACCAAAGACCTGAGATTACACAGGAATGCTGTTTGTAAGAAGAAATACAATAAGCATTTAAGACAAAGTGTAAACCAGGAAGAAGTGCTCTCTAACTGTGCCTTTTGCCCTGCAGGTACATCATCCCAGCTCTGCAGAGAGCTGATGCTGGCTTCTACCAGTGCGTCGTGAGGAACAGGATGGGGGCACTGCTGCAGAGGAGATCTCAAGTCCAAGTGGCATGTATGTCTGATTTGGGTCATTCTGTAACTCATTAGCTTCTTTTTGGTAAAAAACCTGATGTATGATGACATTTGTCAGTCTGAACAGGTGTTAAATATCAGACTTAAATTTTTTTTTCAATTACTGCCTCATAAGAATTTTACACTTCAGTGATAACTGGATCTGGAGGCAGCTCAGAGCAGTGCAACAAAGCCTTTGAGCTCTTCAAAGCCATGACAATGAGACTGTTTGGAGATGTCTGTAGCATGAGAGAACTGTTACACCTGATGGAATTAATGAAGGCCATGCACAAAACTATCAAAATTATCAAAACAACAGCAACAACAACAACAAAAAGTTTAGAGGAAAGCAGCAGCATCTGAAAGGGAATGGGATAGTGGGGATAGCACCAGGAAGATTTCACATCATAGTCCTGGTGGTACGAAATCAGCAGTTTTACAACAAAATTTTAAAATTCTGTTTTCAACACCTTTCTGAAGGTGCAATGTTTGCCTCACTTCAGTTTGGACTATGCAGAATTTTTGAAATTCAGCTGCCATTTGGAAAGGTTAAGTTAGTTTTCTCAGGTGTTTGTGCTAATGAACATGACATAAGAAATGATCACGTACCCCTGATTTCCTTTTTTTCACTTAATATATAGAAAATACAATTCAAGTAATTTTGGAAATAATAAGAAGGTTAGCCCTGATTCTTTTTCCAAAGTAAAAGCATAAAAGACATTTTAAAAGAGACAGATTTGTGTGCTGTACCTAAGAGGTCTCATACATGGATCAAATTTCTCATCATGGTTGGTAACTAGAAATTCAGTAGTAGTAAATGTCACTTGATAAGCAGAATTTAGAGAAATTGAATTATTTATTAGATACCAAATTTGAAGTTACTGATTCAAGTTAATCAGTATGTCAATGAGGGGAATTACATGGAATTTCCTGTGTTTTAAAATAAAAGTAGTTGCAAATGGTATTATGTAAGTTCTGGTATCATGTTCATCAGTTTACTGCATTACAGTAGATTTTGTTACTTTATCTGTAATGTCAGTGATATCAGTCATTTGATGTTTGGTCTCCCTATTGTTTCAGAGCTGCTGGGAGCTAAAGTAAAAATAAACTGCTGCTAAAATGGAGTTTTCCTTCCCTGACTTCTGCCAGCCCTTGTGCCCCTGCTGTCTACTGACCATGGGCTCACTCTGACCCGGCTCAGACCCTTGCAAGTATTTTTCCAAATACTCCTCTGCAGTTTTAGTGAATTCTGTCAGGTCACAGAGGATCTACTTCAAGCTGCTGTGAGTGAACAGAACGTTGAGTGAGGTGTGGGGCGAGCAGGGGGGTTAGATGGGAAGGGGAGGGTGAGGTGCCTCTTCTTGTGCAGCACTGAGCCTCTGGAGGAGCCTGGATGCCTCTGGAGTTGCATCTCCAGATGTGGTTTCAAGGGACGAAGGCTTTGGTAGCAGTCCCAGGATAAAATGTGCCCATTTTCTCCTGCATCCCACTAATCATTCCCACTCCTGGGTTGTAGTGGAGCTCACTCCCCTTTAGGGAGTGTTTCAGCAGGAAAATGTGTTTGAGCAGCTGTGGGCTGAGAGACTTCTCCAAAATTTCTAAAAGAGCAACAGTTCTTGTTTTGGGCTGTAAAAGTTGTCTCCCAGCTCCGCACCCAGCTGTGCAAGCAGTTGTACTGGCACAGTGCAGGGAACAATTCCTGAGGAAGTCCTGGTGGGAACAATAGTGAGAAGAAGACACAGGAATGCTTTTCCTTGATGCTGCTGCTGCTGCTGAAGAATTCTGTCTCCTGAAATGACACCTTTATTCCCCTCTGAAGGGGGGGAAGGTTTCAGGGCAGAGTTTTGTCTCTCCAGGCTGGTTTGGGTGTGTTTGGCTGTTCGGAGAGACTAAGTGCAATTGCTTACTCTTCTTTAGTTTTAGTTTTTCCTCCATTTAATTTGTAGATCTGCATTGCTGAAGAGGCTAAAATGTTTTCTCTTAAATCTGTCTGAATTAAATAGCCTGTGTATTAATTCATTTATTCATTTCTTTTCATTTATAAAGACACTGAGGCAAAGCAAACCAGATCCTGTGTGACTTGGGAGGCTTTTGGTCTTGAGCCTTTGTGACATCAATGGCTTCTGTAGTGAAATTGCCAGTCAGATTTGCACTTTATTCCAGCAGATTAAAGTGTTCTACAAGCTTTAAATATCCTCTTTCCCCTTCACTCAGGGTAGTTACTGATGCCATGTGATTGTTGTCTGTGTTTTAATGGTTTTGATTTAAATTAATTGATTTAAGCTGTGTGGATGTAGTGAAGTTCCTAATATTTTATTATATATTGCTTTTTGGTTATCCTTCAAACATATCAGAAAGCAATGTTCCAAGGGGTTCCTAAAGTCATCTTAGCCACTCATCAAAACTTACAGGAATTGAAATGTTAGTCTTTTAACTCAGAAGGATTCACAAGAAATGATCTATTTTTGCCAGTGAATAGAGGATGCTTCCCAATGCACTTCAACTGAAGATCTCTAGTGAAGAATTGAAAGGTGTAATTATAATGGCACTGAGAAAGATCTGAGGTATCTTCCATGTCCTAGATATCTGAAGTAGCAGGGAACTTGTTAAATAATTTTAAAAAATATTCTCAACACATTCTAACATATTACTTAACTGAATGGGAACAGATATTTGTGAGAAAACTGCTGAGTAAATCTTAATTACAGGATGGGCTTAAAAACTCCTGTATTGTGAAAACTAAAATAATCATACCACAGTGAAGTTAATTAGATCCACCTCCACAGTTTGAAATTTCTTTTCAAGTATCTGATCTGATTACAGTTATAAGGAATCTGGAGCAGCAGAGGAAGTACAATGCTGATTATGTCTGAATAAATAACTTGAAAATCACAAAGATGATTAAAGCTTCTTTAAAATACCGTGTGTTTTTAATTTCTGCTCTTGTTCTGTCTCTTCTTATCTCCTGCCATTCACAGATCTGATAGTAGTCATTTCTTCTCTGTGTCCTTTGCATCCCCCTCTGCAGTACAGAACTTGTAGAGAACCCTGTTGTCCTTTAAAAACTATGGAATTCAGTGACAGAAGCTGGAATAGTTCTCTGTTGTGTGTGTGTCAGTTTCCTAGTTTAAATCAAATTAAAATGCAAAGAAGTTCTTTGGAGGGTGCAGAAGTAAGAGCCTACAGCCCTGTTCATTTTAATGGATAAGAATGCAGTGCAAAAGGCAATGGAAAAACAAGAAAAAAAACTCTCACTGAATTTCTCCAGATACCTGAACTTGCCTGTGCAATAAAGCCTGCAGAGGCAGGGGTTCTGCAAGGGTAGTGTCATTTCTTCCATTAAAACTTATGTTAAAGCTTCTCTCTAACACTAGGGGATGCATAATTGACATTGAAATTTTGTGCCAGAAGAGCAGATAGTCCCCAGCATGACCTTGGGATTCCAGGATCATTTTGGGATCCTTGCTTAGGTCTGACTCTCTGCTGGCTGCAGTGGAAGAGATGTTTCCAAAACCAAAAAGATGACCAAAAAATGAACAGATTTATGTATACCATGAGCAGGGGTTTATATACACCTTTGAATTGCAGGGGTTTCCTTTTTATTGTTAAGGATTTGTCTGAAACAAAACCCAACCAAGTCAAAAACCAAAGTAAACAAATCTCCATTAAAATGTCATTTTCACTAAAGGCCCTCAGTTATTGCCCAAGAACACAGGGGCCATTCAGGGCTGCTCATGGGTGCTCTGCCTGTGTGCACCAGCAGCACTGGAGTTTCCTTCATCTGCCTCTATAATCCAAAATCCCCAAATTCCAAACTGTCCTGTGATCCATAGTGTCCCATGAGTAATTATCAGTGCCAGTGGTTGGTGGGAAACACAGTGATTTCCCTGTCTCCTGAAAAGAAACGGGGAGAAAGGCAAAACTTCTCTTTTTAATTTTTTTTAAATTTTATTTTTTGCAGACATGGGAGATTTCATGGGCACAGACCAGAGAAAAACAGTGACTGAAGGACAAGCTGCTGTTCTGAACTTCCCACACATCCTCAGCCACCCAAGGCCCCAAGTGACGTGGTTTAGAGACGGGCACAAGATTATACCAAGCAGCAGAATGTAAGTCAATTTAAAGCTCAAAATACACCCACCCTAAAATATGATTAATTATATTTGATAACACAGCTTACATTTTAAGTACACTAATTAAGGTTTAAAGAGAATAAAGTAGTCGTGTTCATACTAAGTTTGAGATAAATTACTATTTTAAGACTGTCTCTGAACTTCTGAAGCAGTTTGACAAAATAATTCATGTGGTTTTAATGGTCCTGGTGCAGCATAAGGGGCTGGATGTGCAGAATGTCTGAGCTTCCTTCACGCTATTCATTTCCACGATACACTCTGGAAAAAGGAATGTTCCTCTCTCAATTACATTTGCTTGAGTGCACTAACGTAATGAATTCTTTTAAAACATGAATTTGTGGGGTTTGTTGCAGAGTTATGCTGAGTACTATTTTCCTCACAATAAAATTCTAGATATTGTTTATTCTTTTCATTATTTTTTGCTAACAATGACAATTTTATTTATTTTTTACTAATTAACAGCTCACCCCTAATGACACGGTACTTGTATTTTTATTAGTTATTATCCCAAGGTGCGCTCATTTATCCTTTTCTGAAACAGTTATGAAGCCACCCCACGTTTTTATCTGCACAGTTCCATTCAGAGACTGAAGGGCTTGGCTGCAACATTGAAAAATGTGGATTAAATCTTGTCTCATTTATTAGAAAGCTGTTGAAATGCCAGGAATGTTGCTAGCTAGTTTTTAACTGTGCATTACATTTTTGAGTGTTCAAAGGGATAGATGTGCTAGCAAATGATGGTAATGGGATATTGCTGTGTTCCAGAATTGCTTTAGAGTTCATATTAGAAAGGCAAAACTTCTCTTAAATTTGAATTTTGCTAATCTGTACAGTATATTTTACTTCTATGTGCCTTTTTAAATCTGAAAGCTGGTATTAGAGTGGCTTTGAAACTGTTAAAATTAGTATTGCAGGGATGTGAAGAAACAATGTAATAAGTTATGAATAATTTAATAGTAATTTGATGGGAAACAGCTGGAAGATGAAACAATAGATTCCTGGGCAATCTCTTGAAGAGAGCTAAGTGACAAATCCTGAGTTATTAACCATTAAGGATCTACTTCCCCCACTTGTGCTACATTACAAATTTTGTGTTGTTGATGCTGAGAACACACAAATCAGGAATTTGCAGATAGTGACAAGGCCTTGTTATGCTGATACCTGAGAGTTTCCTGGAACCCTTACAGGGAACAGAGCAGTGTGACCAAGGCAAGCCTGCAGTGCCTGACAATGAGATTTGCCTGAGTTCTCTTACAGTTTGTGAAAATTGCAAGTAGAATTGTGTATGCCATGTATTTGTTAATATAAAGATCCTGATTTTCACCTGCTGTACTCTTACCCCCTTGGGATTGCTGGGGTAAAATGACCTGTAGCTGTGGTCCTGCTTAAAATGGGAGAACTGCAACACTGGCTACGGCAGGGCTGAAATACACCTCAAGGTTTCCATATAAATTCTATTTCCCTGGTCAGAAATTTTGTCTAAAAGGGACACTTGAGGACATTTTTCTGGCCTGTATAGAAATCTCTGAGTACTTCTGCAGCTGAAATGCCCATGCTGGAAGTGTGAGCCCGCTTGGAAGTTTGATAGATGGTGCACAGTGAGTCTGATATGTTCAGGAGGTGACAGATTTATGGTACACACACCAATCATCAGAGCACTCTGTGCAGTAGGTCTCAAAATACTGGAAAAACCAGAGAGCATCCACTCACATCTTGTTGTCCATGAAATTTGAGAAGTAAATATGGCAGCCCTATAAATACAGGAAAGCTGAGACGTGGAGAGGATGCATATAAAACTGTGAGAAATTGAGAAATATCTTATGGGAGCTGGTTCTTACCTGTGGAACAAGTATTTCACGTGTTTTTTTGTGCTCCAGGAGGAATCAATTTCCCTGATCAGTTTAGCCAGTGATCCAGTTAGGCTGATGCATCAATCTCACTGGATCTCCTGCTAAACTGATCAGGGAAATTGATACAACCACCTTGTGCGATGCTCTTTAATCTGATTAAAAGTACCTTATATTGCTAAATCAATATAAAGCTTTTTTAGTGTTCTTAAACAAGCTTACAATGGTTTGGCTGAATCAATCAGCCATAATTTCATATGTCAGCTGTAATCAAGATTTCTAGGAGTGACATTGCTGTGGTGCATGAGGAGTGAGGACATAAACAGTGCAAAAAATGGGGAGAACAGTGGTGGTTACGGTGAAATTCATTCAAATAGTCGTCTGAGTTTTACTCATGCAAAAGCCTTAATTTACATGTGCTTAACTCTGCACCATTTTATGCCATAAAAATGATCCTCATGTTTGTGTGCATGGATTCATCTCACTGATGTGGGAACAGAGTTGTCCTTAGATGAGAGGTACAAAAATTGAAAAGTAACACTAGTTCTGACAATAAAAAATAAGAAATTCTTGAGACGTTTCAAGGAATGTCATTTAATTGGCTCTGCAGTATGGCTTTCCTAGCAGGTTTAAGGTGCTAAATGCTGATGTATTTCTCCTTCACTGTGTACCAGTATTTGGGACACTTATGGGGAAGGGCCCTGCCAGCTATTCAGCATCTCTGGGCAGCCTTTGCCAGGGCCTCACCACCCTCACCAGGAAAGATTTCTTCCCTAGATCCACCCTCTTGTAGTTTAAAACTATCCCTTCTTGTCCTTCTACTTTGTGCCCTTGTCAGTTATTCAGGGTGGGGGGGAGAAAAGATCAGTGAATACCTTTGGTTTCACCTTTTTTTAGATCCTGCTCTGAGAGCGTGCATGGCTGTGACATTTTCTGGGAGAAAATTTCCTTTGGGACACAGGCAATTTTTTTTTTTCAAACTGCACACTCAATTTAATTGCTGGTGTTACTCAAAGTGGAATTTGCAGCAAATAAACACATATTAGTACCTATCCTGATGGTGTTGGTAATATTTTGTTAAAGCCTCCAGATAAAAACAGGAATAAGATGACAAGTTACTCCTAAATAAGTGGGCATGTAAAGTCAACAAACCCCTGTATAATACATAAATGTGAAGCAAAAGGCCTGCACATACTCCTGGGGTTGTTGTTATAGTTTATGACTTAAGGCAACTAACAAATGTGCAGCAGAGTCAGTGGGACATGATGGTGTGTGTTTAAAAATTTAAGTCCTAAAAGTCACTGTCATCCCCTCCTCTCTTAGTGCAGTGTGGGTGTACACTCATTTTGGCTTTTATGCATTCATCAAAGCCTCAGCTTGGTATTTTCAAGAGGTATTTCTGGAACAGAATGAAGCTCTGTACGTGCTAGAAAAGTGTAAAGGGGAGAATTGGAGAGGAGATTAAAGGATCAAGAACAAGAGAAAATGAGCAAGGAGAAGAACTAGGGTTTGAGGTGTTTGTTATTATTCTATATTCCCCAAGAAGTTCTAGAAGAGACTTGACATTACACCCAGACAGATTCATTTCCGAACACACCAGCAGAAAAATGTAGAATTACAGCTGCACTGTTATCCAGGGTCTTTATTGATGGGATGATTTTGCCTGTTTCCCTGCACATCTTACCAAAACTAGCAGCTCTCTAAAGGTGACTGCATCAAAAGAAATTGCTGCTCTGGGATATCAAGTATTCTGCTTGCTTTGCCTGCTTGTACTTCATCAGGCTTAAAAGCAAAGAACATTTAACTTTCTTTACACGAGCACAAACAGTACCTTGGAGAGGTACAAAGGACAGTAGCACCATCAAGGTCTACAATTGCCTTTCACTTGTGGCATTGAGGAATTAAATTCTTAGTACTCTTAGAGGGTTTTTTACCTTTCTCTAAGTGAAGCATTTTTCAGAGAAAAGGTTCATTCCAGCCATCAATTCTTTTAATTCACTTTCTTTAAGAAGAGAACTTCTATGCAGACGTTATTACTGTCTTCATTAACTTCCTTACAGTGAAACTGCTCTTCCCCATGTAAGCTGCAGTTAGATGAATATAAAATCATGTCTTTTGAAAGTGGAATTATGTCTGACACAAAACAAGAAAGTTCATTTTTGGTGTATAAAGGCACTTCTGGGGCGTCCCTTTCAGCCGGATGGACATTTAGTCACTTAATTAACTCATGAGGAACTGAAGGACTTCACAAATGCACCTCATCCCCCTAGGCAGGAATGCTGGATTGCGTTGCCTTCAGGTACACATGGGTTAATATCTGTGTTTTGCACTCAGATTAATTCATTATTGGATATATTTGGTCATTATTAACTCTTAAGGACTGAAGCTGCTGGCAGATCATGGAAATTAAAATATAGTCAGCACAAGCCACTCTCTCTTGACTTGCTGTGGTTTTGGACACTCACAATACTTTGCAAATAGGCAAAGCTGGTGCAAATTTATTAGACATTTGTTAAAGTAAAATTGTAAATGTGTTAATGGCAGCCTCAAAAAAAAAAAAGTAGTTGTAGCTAAGTAGGCTTTAAAATATGAGAAAAATTGAAGTATCTAGGAATAATACATCAAATCTTGGGCTGATAATAGCATTAGATTAGGTTTTGCTTTGATGATAGTAGCTGACTTAATGTGCCATGTATATATTTTTCACTTTAAAACAAACACCACTTCATTATTCTGTGAACAGTTCTAGTGGTACAGAGCATCTCTCTGCAAATACCATCCTGTCATACAACTTAAGCCAGTTGCACATAATTACTTTTCACATACACTGGATAATACTTTCATTAAGATCATGATTATTATCATTACTGAACAATAAATTCAGGGACTGTCAACTCTACAATGTATTAGCTGAGCAATAATTTAAAAATAAAATTTGCAGATCTTCTGTCTGCTAACATCATGGAGTGACACCTCTCAGCAATAAGATGTGAAAAAGCATTATAATATTTGGTTTATCTGAATGTACCTTTCATAGGCTCCACATTAAGGTCAGTACCTGAAAAAGAAGAGTACTTGGTAGAATTAAATTATTCCCTTAAACTAAAATTCACCACCACCATCCTATAA